AAAAATTATTGGCTTTAGAAAATCAATCCCCTTATAAATGATAAGATGTTATATTCTATAACATAATACACATAAAACATGAAATATTCCAAATACATTTTACCACCATCAAAATCTATAAATAGTTGTTGAAAATTTTTTTTAGGCGGTCATAATAAAAAATAAGGTGATTTTGGTGTATAACCAAAAAAAAAAAAATTAGAAAGTAAGTAAAAGTGGGAGTATGTGGCAAAATCATGACCATTGGATTTAGGATTTTTGGTTACTTTTAAGTTATAATTTTTTTGTTGTATTTTTAGCAATTATCCCTAAAAAATATTATTATTTGTAAATAAGTATTTACAACAAAAATAACTACATGACCAACATAAATGTTAAGATCTGTTTAATAAATAGATAGCATGACATTAATTTTTACAATGAATAAGGTTCAAAAAAATAAAAGAAAATCTTTTTTAAAAATTAAAAAAAATTAATAGATACCCAATTTTGGAAAATAGTTTAAAACTAGATATATTCTGAGTTTCTAAATTTTTATTGAAAGCAAAATACACATAGACAAAGTGAAGAGTAATGATCGGGACACTGGAACACACAAAATACACATCCTCTTACTATTAAAATGTCGAGCACACCAAAACAAAACTCTTCATTCGTATTCTTTGACAATATTTTGATATCTTCGGAACACACAAAAATTTAAAACTCAAATAATTGCCTTATGAAATTCTTTAAGTCCACAGAAAATTCCATTGAAATGATATTAGTATATATGAAAAGATTAGTTATTGGTATCACAATTTAATATTTATATGGTTTCCGACTATCTAATTAATTATACTTAGATTATATAATTGTTTTGCTCATTGATGATTATGCAATTAGTCCTTATAGAAACTTAGTTATATGTACTTATAACGATGTTATTCATTGATTTTAATGTATGGTAAAATACTTATCACACCTTGATGCAGCTAATACTAGGTCTTTGTAAAAATGCATTTTGATTAAACAAATTGTCTTTACTTTTTGCATATAGGGAACAAGAATACATGCAACCATTGAAGATGACATGCTTAAAAAGCATCATAGCATTCTTAAAGAGTTCAAACAAGGTAATTCGATATATAACATTCAAAACTTTCCAAAATAATTTTAATCCCTAAGATGTTTGTCGCCCCATCTAAAACTAAGTTTCCTTTTAGAATGCGGCGCAAACAATTTCGGAATTTCCAGTGACTTTAACTTTTGCAATCACCATAAATAAAAATCAAAGGCTCCGCGATAGACTCTCTACTGGTGACCGTATAAGAAATTAAAGAATCCACCAACCTTGCTCTTTATGTGGAGAACAAAATGAGACTCGGAATCATCTCTTTATGGCTTGTCCTTACTCATATACGATGTGGTCACTTATTGCGTCTGACTTGCTGGGATCACGAATCAATCTGGACTGGACCAGAACAGTAAATTCGCTGCTCCAAAATCGCCTTTCATCTCTTGACAACTCTCTGGTTTGTATGGTTTTCCAATCAACAATCTATTGGCTATGGAGAGAAAGGAATGGTAGGATTCATAACAACCCTTACCACTCTGCTTTATTCACTGCCAATAAGATACATAAAGAAATGCAAACTCGTCTTCTAGCTCATGATGGAGATGTTGGAATCGAAGAAGGACTAGCTAGGTGGAACTCAATCTCGAAGATGCAAAATTATTAATTATGTTACTTTTGTATAATATTTCGAATTTGCTCTCTTTTGTCGAGATAAACATATGACCAACTGGTTTACGACTGGTTTTGTATTTTCTCGTTTTTGTTGATAAATAAATTTCACATTTCACATTTCAAAAA